GCAGGGGGCGCCTGGCCCCCTGCCGGTGGGGATGGCCAGGCAGCGGAGTGCCACGGGGCCTGGGATGGTGACAAGGATGGGACACGCCGGTGACCTGCAGCCCCAGGGCAATAGCGCAGCGTTGCTGGACTCTGCTCCTCACCGCCCTGGCCATGTGCTTGGATGGTTGCAAACGCTAATCGGAGTCTTACTGTTTGGGATTGAACATTTTTTTTCCCTTCTTTCCTGTTGGACAGTTTACCTGAATTATTTTTTTGTTTTGGTTAGGATGGTTTAAAATAGAAACTCCAGTTGCCTCTTTCCTTGTTTGAGACTGAGACACCTTTCCAGCTTGGAGATGAGCAAAACCTTCTGGGTTTTGCCTCCCTTTCTTAGGCAGTGTCTTTCCCATCGCCTCTGGTGCCTGCTCTGCACTGGAAGGAGACACTGCTTCAGCTGGGAGAGGAATACGCTTCCTTATATCCAGGAAAAAAGCTCTCGCCACCTTCTGGCCCTCAGCCCAGGCTGGCTGATATCCTGCAGCCTGGAAACAGGCAGAGGCAATCTTTACATTTCTGTTGTTGTGCCGAAGGAGGTTGTTAGGCTGGAAATGAGCCCTTTTAATGTTAAGTACATAGGAGGTGGGATGCTCTGTCCACTTTAATGTGCCCCCAAGCTGAAAGTCATCTATTGCAGCTCCCTGCCCTCTAGCAGATGGCACCCTGCACTTGCAAAGCTTCCTATTTTAGCAGCTGGGGAGGTGGTGAAACGGAGGAGATGGGAGCTGCTTGCATGGCCCCGAGCCAATAACCCCACGCCTGACTCCACTGTGGGGTCTGGGCTCTGAACCCCTTCTTCAGCCCAAGGGGGATGGATGGGTGGCCGTGGCAGAGCAGCACCATCACAGCTGCTCCGGGTGCCTCTGCAAGGCATGGGAGCAAGGGTCTGCGCCCTGCTGCCCCTCATGGGATGCTTTTTTGGGGGGGGGCCTTAGTGCTTTGGCCACCCTGAAAGGCATTAGTGGTCCCTGCCTCAGGCTGGGAATGCTTGAGCCACTGAGGCAGGGGGGCACAGGGCAGGTTTCCCTGGCCCACTTGGCTGTCGCTTGGGATGATGCTTTGGAACTGGAAGAGGCTTCCACTGCTGTTGAAACCCATCAGGCTGGACTTGCTTCAAGAGGAAACGCTTTGAAGGCAAGTCCTGTTTTCCTGGGGTGGATTTTTGTTTTCAGGGTCCCTACCCTACTCCCCCTGAAATGCTGCTTTGCCTTTATGAAGGGAAGGACAGCCCCTGTCCTGGTATGGGACAGAGCTGCCTACCAGGTGTCGGTGGGTGGCCCTTGCAGGGCCAAGCCCCTCGGGCCAGACTGTTACTCACAAGGAGGACCCCTACTCCACAAGTACCGATGTAGATAGTTTTAAGCTGTTGTTTAAAAGAAACTTGCGGTAGCTCTCTTTGTGCAGCTTCCTGTCTTGTTGAAATTAAAGTTTTCTTTGGGGAAAAAAAAAAAAAAAGTTGGTAATACTCTTTTTTTTTTTTCACTGTTACTTTTTTTATACTGGTAATTTCCCACTATGCCACAACTTAGAAAGCAAGATGAAATGCAGATGCTTTCTTGCTGCCACACAGGAAAAATTTTAACCAGGGTAAGAGACAGCTAAAGGTCAGTAAAGTTAACTTTTAATGAACCTTGTTCCTCAGGCAGCAGGAGCAGCAGGACAGCCCAAGGCTGCAGGCGTGCCCTCCAGGGCCTTGGGGCATCCTCCCCCTCCGTGCGCCCTCCAGGGCCTTGGGGCATCCTCCCCCTCCGTGCGCCCTCCAGGGCCTTGGGGCATCCTCCCCTCCATGCGCCCTCCCTGCCAAGGTGCAGGGCTGGCCGCCCCGCGGACCTTGGGGCGCCCCCCCCCCCCGTGGGCCCTCCAGGGCCTTGGGGCATCCTCCCCCTCCGTGCGCCCTCCAGGGCCTTGGGGCATCCTCCCCTCCATGCGCCCTCCATGCCAAGGTGCAGGGATGGTGGGGGCAAGTCCTGGCCGCACGCTGGTCCGTATTGAAGCACCTTCCCCATCACCAGGAGCCGGCAAGGCCCAGGGGCTCCTCAGGAGTCAACACAAGTCACGGTGTCACCAGTATGGCCGGAGGACAGGGCTGGGACTGACCCAACTTGCATGAAGACAGAAGGGTCTCACCTGGCTTCCACCACTCACAGAGCACCGGGAGAGTAGTTTGAGGTGGTCTTGAAGTCAAGAAGAAGCAACCAAGGGCCAGGAGACAGGACACTGGAGAAATCCTTTATTGGCACAGTTGTTCCGTTCACATACGCCGCAGCTCTGGCTCACGGGTGTCTGAGTAAGCCGAGGCAAGGGGCTATTTTACAGGGCAAGGGAGAGCCTGCTTCACGCATTTCAGGCCTGTAGCCTCAGCTCAGCAGTGTACTGTGTGCTTTAAAAGTTTAAAAAAAAAAAAAAGCACTACTGCTATATTAGTGTTGGCAAGTCATATGATTCCTCCTACACAGCTATCACACCTCCCCCCCAGTAACAAAAACAAAGTTGTTTTTTTTTTTTTCTTCTTCCTTAATGACTGTGGCTCAAAAGAAAACAAAAAAAAAAAGCACTTCAATTGCGTGCAAGTTAGGGAGATGCTTCCACCTGCCCGAGCTCCCTGCAGCAGATCCAGGGAACATCCCTCACCTCTGCTCAGCCTTCAGCACCTGCAGTCCCCAAGCGCCACCCCGGTTTTGGATGCAGCACCCTTTGCTAAGGCACAACCCCGCTGCACACACCAAGCTGCCCAGCCGTGGATGAAGAGTGGTTTGCTCTTTCCAGCGTGCTCTTAGATGCTTGCAGGTTATTTGATCAAAGGCTCCTGGAGCTCCAGCCAGGCCCTTCCCTAGGATCAAGAACCCCAGACTACAGCAGATAAGAGAAAAAAAAAAACCCCACAAACCCAAA